GTTGCCGCACAGCAAGAAGGTCCTGAGCAAAAGTCTTTACAAACTCAACCAGGAAATCATCATGCGAGCAGAAAGAAAGAGGATGAGCAGATAGGTAAGCAAGAGAAACCCGCCAGCGTCCCAGGTTTCCAGAGAAGGTTCAGGTTCCAGGTACCTGAAATGGGATGTAATTCAATTCAATTTTATTTATATAGCGCCAAATCACAACAGTCGCCTCAATGCGCTTTATATTGTACAGTAGATCGTACAGTAATAGATACAGAGAAAAACCCAACAATCATATGACCCCCTATGAGCAAGCACTTTGGCGACAGTGGGAAGGAAAAACTCCCTTTTAACAGGAAGAAACCTCCGGCAGAACCAGGCTCAGGGAGGGGCGGGGCCATCTGCTGCGACCGGTTGGGGTGAGAGAAGGAAGACAGGATTTCAGCTCATTTCCTTTATACGCACCTTTAACAGGAAGAGTTTTATACAGCTAGTGTTTAAAATCCAGTGTTCCTCACAGTACACAGGTAACGAGCATAATGATTATTGAATTAGTAACATTTTCTAAAATCATTGTTTTAGTTAATATTGTATGATAGTGTACACAGAATTATTAGCTCAGTAGGCAGAGTGGTCGCCCCGTGATCATAAGGTCAGGGGTTGAATCCACCGAATAGTTACCTTGTGGTACCCCTGAGCGAGGTACCATCAAGGTACCAATCGTGTGCACTGAACTGGTAGCACTCATGGTCTCAAAGGTTTAAAATAAAAAAAGGTTCAACATATAAACAAATTTAATTTGATCACATATATTGTTTTTGTTTTTTCCCTTTCTCTCTCAGACTGAGCAGCTGTAAGTCTCAGAGAAAGGCTGTGAAAATCTGCTGTCACTGGTCAGCTCCCAGTCCTGTAGTCTGAGAGAGCTGGACCTGAGTACCAACAGCCTGAAGGCTTCAGCAGTAAAGCTTCTGTCTGCTGCAGTGGAGAGTCCACACGCCAAACTGAATGTTCTGAGGTCAGATCAATTTGTATTCTGTTTATTTCTGTTTGTTTGTGTTTGATGTTTGTTTTTGTTTATGTCTTTATCCAGTTATCCTTGTTTCATAGCATTTTTATTCATTTCCAAGTTAAAGTGAAGCTTTACTAACCTGCTCAGCACAAGACAATAAGCTATTGCACCCTGATTACACTTTAACAACAATCTTTATTCATGTTTTTATCTTCAGACTTAACATCTGTGAACTCTCAGAGGAAAACTGTGAAGCTCTGTCCTCAGTTCTCAGCTCACAGTCCTCTAGTCTGACAGAGCTGGACCTGAGTATCAGAAAGCTGCAGGATTCAGGAGTGAAGCTTCTGTCTGCTGGACTACAACGTTTAAACTGTAAACTGAATACTCTGAGGTCAGATCAGAAAACATTTGTTTTTAGAATTATTAATTAAAGTTCATCCATATGATGTTGTATCTTAGTATGTTTATGTTTCCTTTAAAAATAGAAAGTCAAGATTTAATGTTGTGAAATGTATTAACAAACTCTACATGAGTATTTGTTGTATAGACTGTCTTTTATTTTTCAGACTGAGTGGCTGTAACCTGTCAGAGAGAAGCTGTGAAGCTCTGTCCTCAGTCCTCAGCTCCCAGTCCTCCAGTCTGAGAGAGCTGGACCTGAGTAACTCTGACCTGCAGGATTCAGGAGTGAAGCTTCTGTCGCTGGACTAAAGAGTTCACAGTGTGCAGTGGAAACTCTCAGGTCAGGATTCAAACTTTTCCACAGATGATCATTTGAAATGTGACTTATATTATTGTATAAACAGGTAACTTTTATACAGCTGTCAAGTGAACTTTTATTCACATTTGAGTGGATAATTGGACTCTGAATTACTAAAAGTTGTTATAGTCATGTCTTTGTTTATTTAAAAAAATACTTCATGAACTGCCTAATTTAAAGATTTAGGCTCCTTTGGGCCCATAATATAGTATAAGGTGACCTTCACGGGCTGCGCTGTGATGGGCGCACATCTACACTTCTACCCTATATATTATTTTATTTTTGTTTGGGGACATTGGCTTAGTGAAAAACTGCGAGAGATTGGCGGCGACTTGATGGTTCCTTTTTTTTTATTCACAGTACTTACTTAATTTTAAAGGCTGATTTTTCAAAATGAATAGATGTTATCTTTTCTTCTACAACACTTGGAGCCACCAAATCTTCGCTTGATTTATTCATTACAGTTTGATTTAAAGATAATAGACTCGTAACATAATAAATAATTTATTTCACTTCTCTTTTGATGAGAAAGAAGAGAGGAAGGCGCGAAATGAGCCACTGCGCGTTATGGCTAGGCGCAGCTGTATGTGTTCTTCGGCACGACGAGGAGACTGCGGGTAATCCGCACACTCTCTTGCTCACAATTTCATCCCAGCAGAGAGAGAGGCTGCAAATGATCACAGTAGTAATGGCCATAGTTTGATAGAACAGGCAGTCTTACCTGCAGATAATACAGGGTTCTGGTGCCGATGTGGGGGAGGGGACTCGCCCGGTACTAACTACATACTACTAACTACCTCATCCAGATGTCTTCCCTACTAACCCTGATAAGAAGTAACTGCAGTAGCCTTATAGGTCAAATCAGTTTCACCTGTTAAAGGTAGCTCCACTATTAATGGTGTCACTTGTTATTTCTGGGATGAGTTTAGTAGCCTGAACAGCTGCTCAAAGGAAAGGTTATTTTTATTATTATTATTTAATTATTAAGTCCGGGGGAACCTGCAAGAGCTGTTTGCACAAAGAATAATACTCAGACTTTTAGGTTTTATCGTTTTACACAAGGTTTAAAAATGAATGTCCACAATTGAATTGCAGAAATTGTTATTGAGCTAATACTGATGTAGTTGTTATCTTTGGTAAGGAGAGGTTGGAGGAAGAATGAGCACAGTCAGGCCTAAAGATGCTCTTAATAATAATAATGGATTGCATTTATATAGCGCTTTTCATTCACTCTCACATTCACACAATGGTGGAGGTAAGCTACAGTTGTAGCCACATCTGCCCTAGGACAGACTGACAGAAGCGAGGCTGCCATATCGTGCCATCAGCCCCTCTGGTCATCACCAGTAAGCGGTAGGTGAAGTGTCTTGCCCAAGGACAAAACTGACCAAGACAGAGAGAGCTGGCTCATCAGACAGACAAGCTCATCTTGTAACCTACTGGTTCGCTGGTCAGCACACAGCTGACTAGCAACCGGCTAACTAGCACACTGGCTAACTAGCACACTGGCTAACTAGCAGATCAGCTAACTAGCAGTCCAGCTAACGGCAGCCACAAGCTGAAGGACGATTAAATGTAGTGGAGATATCAGGGATGACACTGGTGTGTCCGATTCACTCTTTAGCACTCTGTTCACTCCGGTGTGTCAGCCAGAACACCACTGAAGGCCAAATGATCCCAGCGTGTGGAATAAGGAGCTTAAGGTTCGGTTTGAGGCACTTTATTCTTTCACTGATTGATTCTTGTGGCTGTGATCACGTGTGTGGTTTCTTACAAAAAGGAAGTACACAATACAAATACATGACAAATAAGATGAATAGATAAGTTACATATCCAGTTATATGTACGTACATATATGTACATACATCAGTATAGCTAACACGATAGCCATATATAAGGTTAACAGATCACAGTACTATAATGCAGTAATGTTAAGTACAAAGGTGTATATCTACATAATCTATCTCTTCAGTGATCAGAGTACTGTAGTATACTTCTACTACTACACTATACAAACTAAACCATTAGTGTGACTTTAAGTTACCATCAGTACAGACGAACTGATGGTAGTTGTACAAAATAAAGGCTTTGCAATTATTGTGAAGGGCTTCCGGTTAAACTAAGATCAGCTGATTACCTCATAACAAATTGTTTGCTATAGAACGCAGCTCCCACTCTTCATTAATATCATGTACTGTAACTCCCAAGTAACCATGGTTACCCAGCCACGCCCAGTAGTCTCCGAGAGACCAACAGCTGGTGCACGTTGTAACGCTGTGGCTTTCGTAGTCTCTCCTTTTTCTACAGCTCATGTGTTCTTCTTGTGATGGTGCGTCTTGAGGGAGGCTCATACATGCCGTCATTTGTTGATCCTAAGAACGTTCCTCAGACCGACTTCTTCAACAACACTAATCGGCCTGCAGTTTGTAGCTACTCACTTCACTGTGGCGTTTGTTAGCTTGTCTTTCTTTGGTTTATCTAGACTCCTCCCACAAGCTGATCCTACGTAGTCTGCCCAAGCCTCCCACCGCTGTTTGTTGGGTGGTTTGTTTGCTGCCATCAACAGCGTGTAATGCATTTAAGTGATACTTCAGACATGAAGTACTCGACATAAAAAACTCAACTTTGCTTAAAAATACCTTTAGTTGTATCAACACTGCCCTCTGGAATAATTAGACTTTGGTGACAAACTGATGTGATCTCCATGTTTCCTTTGTTGGACTGTGGGCGAGTGTCAGAACTGAATGTACTGAGTAACATGTAGAGTTTAAATATGTTCCAGTTTTAGAGCTCTAAAGTGCAGCTATCATGTTAGGAATATGTTAGGAATAGACAGTAACACTGAGCACACTGAGGTCAAATCTTTCTTTATCCAGTTCATCTGTAGGCTGAGCTCAGTCCATCCATTTAGTGAAATGATGTTTAAAGGTCTCCTTGTTCTGTGAGCGTGCACAGATCCTGAAGCAGAAAGCCTGGGTTAACAGAGAAATGATCATCACTGTGATGATGCTCATCATCTCTGACTGGGATTTGAGGTTTTGTCAAAGCAGCAAAGAAAGCCTGGCTATGTCTGTCTGACTGGGATTTGAGGTTTTGTCAAAGCAGCAAAGAAAGCCTGGCTATGTTGGACTGGGTGTGGAGCAGCTCCCAGTTTGAGTTCAGGAGACAGACACCCTCTCTACTTTGAAGATCAGCTTCAAACTTTCCTTTTTGATAAAGCTTATAGTTAGAGCTGGATCAGGTGACCCTGAACCATCCCTTAGTTATGCTGCCATAGAGATGGATAACAGACGGATTGTTGTTTTGTGTGTCTGCAGTCTGTCAGGCTGTCTGATCACAGAGGAAGGCTGTACTTCTCTGGCCTCAGCTCTGAGCTCCAACCCCTCCCATCTGAGAGAGCTGGACCTGAGCTACAATCATCCAGGTGACTCAGGAATGAAGCTGCTGTCGGCTGGACTGAAGGATCCAGGCTGGAGACTGGACACTCTCAGGTATGGAGAGAATGTCTGATAGAGGAGGAAGAGCTGGAAACATTTCCTGTGTCCTTCACTCACTTCCTGTTTGTTTCCTGCAGATGAGACATGAACAATCACACATGCAGGAATATTTTCAGGGACAGACACACTAGTCTAGCTGGATAGTACATGGATATTTATGTAGGGGGTCTCCAAGGAGTCTGTTTGCAGGAACATTAATGATAACTGTATCATGTTGAGAGTTTCATTAAAAGTAGACCTACAGTTAGGTCCATAAATATTTGGACAGAGACAACATTTTGTAACTTTAGATACACTTTATTAGGTCACAGGTGTGTTACATGAGATAGTGGCACTGTGTACCTAATAAGTGTCAGCCATGTGTATGTTTCCCATGCTGTATGTCCACAGTCACAGTGACAGTCAGACATGAGGGATGAAACAAGGCAATCATGTTCATCTGGCTAGTCGTAAAAGAGTGCAGCACAGTGTAGCAGCTCATTTGAAATCAATTAATAATGCCCTTAATGTTCACATGCAATCACAATAATTTGTCAAGTGCAATTCTACACATGATACTGTTTCCTGCTTCAAGCAAGCGTTGAAACAGCAAATTGTAGAGCCCTTTTTGCTAATCTTCATTGTGTGTGCCATATGGAAACTCTAAGCTATGCATGACAAGCAATGAACTAGTTTACCCTGTTAGAGATCAATATTTGGACATTCTCATTGCTAAGTAAATGTTAAACAAACTCATACATTACACGTTTCACAATCGGATAGTTATCAAGTCACTACTATGATCCAGAACAAACGCTGATATCATATGTTGCCTTATTTGCATTCCAACAGTTGAGCAGCCCGCGTGAGAGTCAGAAAGTTGGGCCCTTGCTCTCATCACACAATTGGTGAACCCTTCCTACGGCCAAATGGTGTTTAGCTAGCTATAGTTCGCCTAAGCTGGAACAGCTAATACTTGGAAGAGGTACATATCATATGATCCAAAATACTCATCTCGTTACATGTGTTGAATCTGGAAGCGAGGGATAGTTGTGAATGTTTCAGGGGGGGACGCAAAAGCTGTAACTTCCTTTGTTCGACCTATGACAAGAAATTCTCAATCTAGTCAGGCTGTAATAGTTCCAAAAGCACCAACTTAGAGCTCATTTCCCTAGGAGAAACCAATACACAGTGGTGTACTGTTTTCGTCTACGCCATTGTAAGTGATACAACAGTCAACCAACCCAAGCTTTGTAGCATAGCTTATTACCCACAAGTGAATTAATAAGAATATGGTACATTAGTCAGTTATCGAACTGTATCACATGATATCAATTCATGTGGCATAATCAGACACTGGTTAAGTGATGTGAAGCTACGCCGATATTCGTACCTAGGGTTCAAAATATGACCTGGTGTTGATGACAATAAAGTGGTGTTGCCCGAGCGCTAAATACTGCGAAGAATTTGGACTTTTTTCTATGTACTCCAAGGAGTTTTATACTCAACAATCACACAATCTGAGATTGAACATGCTGCATTTACTGCCACAATAAGCATGAGGGAAGTATAGATCTTATTAGGCGGGGTATTAGGTAACGTATACAACTATTAGCTTTACTATAGCTAAATAATAAAGAGATAGGAACAAGAATATGATTCAGAGATTCTCTAGTTAGCTAGTCTAATTATACATCGACAAAACTGAATCAAATGGTAAATATGATAGAATAATTAAAGAAGTAACTGCTACATTGTAATAATGCGTAATTCCATCGAAAAGTATGCGGCTAAGATGATCAAGTCAAAATGTGACATGTTGATGCGTGATATTCCCCATAAATCAACCTTAGATACATTGAATCCTACTGCTGGTTCACCTTTGTTTATAAGTGAAGAATGAAGAGGCCACTAGAAACTTGGCCAACTAAATTAAGGAGTCTCGAACTAAGTAAGAGTAGCTCGACTGGTAGCCTACCCTTAGCAATAAACATGCTAGTTTGTCCGACAACCAGTGCAAAGAATTAATAAAGCACATTTAATATATCAAGAGTACAACAGTATGTTACCATTATTGGATCAATTAGTCTTTTAATTCACATCAAGAGCATTAGCTCATTTTAAAAAATGCTTGTTGCGTGCGTAAACTTATGCTGAATAGCATGTACCACTATATGAGTTAGCTAGAGAAGGAGCTACATGTACATAACCCGACTATAGTAGGAAAGGTCGATTAGCCTGAGTTAGCTCAGTTACTCGCCTATATAACTTAGTCGGTCTAAAAGGTCCCTCGACTAATTAGAGTTAGCCCCTAATGGCAGCCTACCTTAGCATTACTCCTGACGTCGTTGTAATGCAGGAAAAGAGTTACCATTATCGGATAATGCTAATTCACATCAAATTAGCATTAGTTAATAACGGTAGACTTCGTATCATTAGCTGCTGTCATTCTTACAAAGCAAACAGTATGAGCATTAGCTGTTAATGCTTTTTCATCTAAAATTAGAATTAGCCACTAATGGCGTATTGTTAAAAAGTAAGAAAAAACATTGTTAGCATAAGGATAATGCTAATTCACCTCAAATTAGTATTAGCTAATAACGGCACCTGACTTAGCATTAGCTGGTCACATTGTTATAAAGCAAGAAAATATGGTATTAGCATTAGCTGCCAATTTCCTATTTCACCTAAAATTAGCATTACCGCTAATGGCATCTACTTACATTACACTCATCACTAATCTAATGCTAATTCACATCAAATTAGCATTTAGCTGCTAACAGCGTTTAGCCGACGGACGGGGAACGTCTCAACGCGTAGAGAACGTCATTTCTGCTTCTTTTTCTTGCAACCGTAGCACGGCGATCGGCAGATAAAAAGCCGGTAGCAGTCTCCTTTGTTTTTACGCTCGATGTTCATGTCTTCTAATCATGAGAACGAATAAGGCACTGTAGGCTTATGAGATGAGAAGGCAGTTTGTTGTGGAGCGAACAGGGACTCTCCCTTGCCGCATGTTTTTTAACATAGGAGAAAGAACTCGACGGATTGTACACCTAGACATTACAAATCTCAGTCCTGGAGTTTCGAGTAGAGTTGATGCTCCTGTGAGATGTTTCTCCTGAACACTACGCCCCACTATTATAGTTTATTGATACTATATATTACGTATTGCATAGAGATAGAATCCGGAGGGATACGCAACGCTCGCAGCTTGCGTGCGCAATTATGGTTCTGTTGACTGCAATAAAACAGGGAGACTGATGGATAGCAGAGATAACAATGCTATGTCACGATCTGGGTGTTGACGCTTACAGTTCACATGCATAATAATCGCTTTATGTATATGTTGCGAGAAACAGACCATGGATAATATCAATAGCAAATCCCACATAATAGGTCGATGCGCCGATCTAGTCCGAGGAGAATAACTTACAGGTGACTGGTCGATTGAACTTACAGGTGTTCAAGCCTGGCGTGACTTGCGCAATTGACTGAATGGTGTCATAGGTATGCAAATTCATATAAAGTCCTGGCGCAACTGTAACAGACTTCAACAAATAGTTGTGGCTGCATTGAGTTCATACTTTTCTTTTATCCCGCCGCCTACGCATCACTGTGAGAGTTAATATGAGATCTCTCTCTGTGGAAAAATAACTTTAAATCCCACTGACGTGTGTATAAATCTATATACGTTAATGTCCCGCTGGGAAGCAACCATTGACTGTAGAAAACATGGAGGACGCAGCTCCCCAAAAATGAAGCCAAACATCTCTATCGCCCCTGGTGTCTGGCTGCAGTATAGGTCATAAACCCCGCCTCCTCCATGTTAGCGGATGGGACTGGGGTCAGACTAAAATAAATTAATCTCCTCAGATAATTTTTTTCCAAAGATTCTTTCTTTTTTTCAATAGTTCTCATCACGCTGATTTATGTCCAAGGGGTCTCCTCTCCCATAAGTTTGATTCTAATTCCTACCGCGGTGATGTTAAATTGGGGTGAAACGTCATCATAGCAGCTTTGACTGGCAGCTGCAGTCACGGAGAAACTTGCGTATCTCTGTTCGGGAATAGCAGATAGAGCGTAGGCTCTGAGAGGAGGGCCAGCGTTTACGCTACGAAAACACGACCGAGTGTTTTAACCTGACAGCCTGAGGTGTTCTTCAGTAAACTGGACTACCCGACAGAAGGACCCGAGGCCCCGCTGCACTTTTTCGGTAAGTTAAACGTGTTTGTAAGCTAATCCGTAACTACCGTCCTTAGCTAGCTCCTGAGACCTAGCTAGCTAAAGATGAGCACTCGGCTGTCAGGGTTCGTTTAGCTGTGCAGGGGAATGAATTTACTAAAGAAATCAAGAGAAACGCCCCGGGCTGCTCAGTCACTAATTACTGTTACTGTACTTTTATTACAAGTATTATACTGTAAAAGCAACAGGCTGCACCCTGCTTGCAGCTCCTGTGCAGAGCTGAATATTAAATATGTGCAAACAACAGCATGTTTTCAGTCTCTTGCCACATCTGTAAAGACAGTAACAATTTTTTAAAAGCTTGTACTTCAGTAACTCCTCATTAATCAGGAACTATGGATTAAAGTACTGATGAGAGAAGAAAGACAGGATTTCAGCTCATCTCCTTTATACACACCTTTAACAGGAAGAGTTTTATACAGCTAGTGTTTAAAATCCAGTGTTCCTCACAATACACAGGTAATGAGCATAATGATTATTGAATTACTAAAATTTTCCAAAATAATTGTTTTAGTTAATATTGTATCATAGTGTCTGTGAAGGTTCTCAGTCATCCAGGTCATTGTAGTCAAAGGAGCTTGCAAAGAAAGGCGTCTGGACTTCTTTAAGTTACTTTAAGTTACTTTAAGTTACTAAGGTCAAATGACCTTAGAACTGAAGAAGCTTCTCGGATGAAAGGTGAAACGTCTTCAAGTCACTTAAAGAAGTCCAGACGTCTTTCTTTGCAAGCTCCTTTGACATTGTATCATAGTGTACACAGAATTATTAGCTCAGTAGGCCGCACCATGATCGTAAGGTCAGGGGTCGAATCCACCGAATAGTTACCTTGTGGTACCCCTGAGCAAGGTATCATCAAGGTACCAATCGTGTGCACTGGATTGGTAGCACTCATGGTCTCATAGGTTTAAAATAAAAAATAAAAAAGGTTTGTAGGTTCTTTTTATTTGGAAGGGAAAATAAGCACAGACGCGAGTCCAAGGAGGTGTCCAAATAGTGATTTATTACACACACTCAACGACACATACAGTATGTGGAGAGTCGGACCGGACCTCTCCTTTTCTCGTCATTGGAGAAAGCTTTATAGCCATTATGACGTCAGAAGAATTCCCCTATCTCCTTCTATGTTCAAAACAACCCTTTCCCGGAATTAAAAGACAGATGTTTCCACTCAAT